GTATTATACATGGGTTATTGATAATTAGATTTTTAATGCTATTTAAGTTTTAAAAAATAATGATTGTATTATTCCTGAATAAATGCTGTATTTGTCAGGTCTTTTGAAAAAGAGATTTTAAATCTCAATGAGATCTACCTGGTTAAAGGTTAAATAAAATAAAATAAAATAAAAGGCAGTGGCGGGCCACAGTTGGCCCGTGGACCTTGAGTTTGACACGTGTCCTCTGCGACAGTTTGTTGAAAGGATTTTCAGAATTAATTACATTTAAAAACAACCATTAGTAACAGTTTTTTGTTTTAGTTGTTACAGATGTCAGTGTGTGTGCGGCCCCACATTGTGCACACGTCTCTGCTGTTGTTTAGTTGGTGAAAAGCTGAAAGCTCGGCTGCTCTAACGTTAAAACAACGGGTGTGTGCAGAACTGCAGCCGGGCGTGGTGCACAGAGGTGGTGTGTGAAGTGCAGCAGCTCGGACACGAGGCCATCATCAGGGTCACCCGCAGAGTCCACGATGATTTCTTCAGAAAGGTGAGCTGCAGAACGTGGATCATTAAATCCTCGTCACATTAAAGCTGCTGCTAACCCGTGTGTGTGTGTCTGTTTGTGTGTGTGTCTGTAGGCCAAATACAAGTCGGTGAAGATAGTGAGCAGTTTCGAGCTCACAGCCCAGGAGACGAGCTCCATCACTCTGGGTGCAGGGATCCTCAGAGGGGAGGTGAGACCGCTGAAAGTCTCTGATCCACTTGTTACATTTGTTTGATTTTCATGTCTGTGTTCCAGTCGGTTCTGGAGGTGCTGAAGGGTCGATCCATCCCCATCTCTCTCTGGATCCTGATCGGCAGCATCATCGGCGGCCTGCTGCTGCTCGCTCTCATCATTTTCATCCTGTGGAAGGTATTTATTTTCCACTCTGCCTCTACAAAAAGCATCACCGTGTCGAAGACCGGACGTTAATCTCATGTCTTTCTCAGCTCGGATTCTTCACACGCAAACTAAGAGAAGAGGAAAACCACGAGGATTGAACCAAAGTTTTCTCTTTTTTATTACGATGAAGACGACAGGAAGAGGTGGGCTGGGAGGGGTTCTGCCTCCAAAACAGGGTAAATGACGGTCCTAAGCTGAAGCTGAAGGATCTCCAGGACCAAAGAACCGTTATCAGGGTCCAGCAGAGATGCACTACTTTCAGAATCAGAGGGAGAAATTATGTAAATTATTTTTTTATTGTGTTTTTCAAAGGGAAAAACAAAGTATACTAATCCAGGGGTTCTCAAGCCATTTGGGTCTGGGGACCCCTTACCAGGGACCCCCTCATAAACCCCGTGCTGTTTTAAAATATAATTTATTGTCATTTCTATGAGGTGCTGTTTGTAAAGTTACACAGTCATAAATTATCACCAATATTTATGTTTTATTTAGTCTTTTATAAGAAAAAAAGAACAGATTTATTTTTCAAAGTCAGTTTTTCACCACATGATTCATACATTTATAANCGTCCGACATTAAACAGCCCCACAGAGGAGGGAGGGGCGGGGAGGCTGTCGCCGTGCAGCGCTGCTGTCCTGCGTCTGACCTCAAAGTGCACAAGCTTCAAACTTCAGCGTTGGCTGCGATTTTGAAGCTGAAATCGCGTTCGGTGTGAACGCACCATTACTTAATGTACAATTAATATTATGTAGGGATGCACGATATATCAGCATTAATAGCTGTATCGGACGACATTGGTCATTTTTTAGAATATCGGTATCGGTCCGATATGTAAAACTGGGCTGATGTTAACATCCGATATTGATTTCCCACTTTTAGCTTTGTGTTTCTGTTTTGGGAGGGGAGATTGGGCTGAACAAAATTAGCCCCAATGAGCAGCAAACTGAGAGGGTGGGACAAGACGTCTCTCAATCATCCTGGACCACGAAAAACATTTTTCCCCAAAGGGGCAAAGTGCTACTCAGATGTGATTAAAAACATTAAAACATTAAAATGAATGGGCCTGTGACAAGTTAGGCCAGAACATGAACTAATCTAATTATTGAAGTTTGTTTATTCAGCTTAAATCTTCCTCTTTCAGTCATTCACGATATTTTCATGTTATTTTCAACTGCACCAAACTTTAGGAAAACTTAAGTTTCATAAGATTCTACTGGACTGAAGCCTATTTTCAGACTGCTGATCGAATCAAAATGATAATTGACACCAATTTTTAACAAATCCATTCATAGAGGAAATCTTTCAGTTTGAGGCCATGAAGTCAGGCTGCTGTTACCTGATGTGTGAGTCTGTGTGTTTTCAGGTTACACTGTGTCCTCTGTAGTCATCGCTAACAGGAAGAGACTGTATGTAGCTGGAGCTCCTCGCTTCAAACACAAGGGCAAAGTCATTTTGTTTGAGCTTGGTGACGACGGGGATGTTGAGATCGTTCAGGCCTTGAATGGAGAGCAGGTAAAGCTCATTTTCACCACATCTCCTCTTCTCCTCGCTTAGTTTGGTTGATTTCTGACTACATGCTGGCCTTAATATGTTGTTATTTCTCTGTTCTACTAAAAGTTGTTTTTGACGCATGAAAACATCTAATTACATTTTACACTTAAGCATGTCTCCATTTTGTTACTGATGCAATGCATTTTGGGAATGATAAAGGGTTTTAGTTTAGACTAAAACACAAAGAGACAAGGCTAAAAAGCTTTGCATTGAAATGATTTTCAATAAAGTAGCTCTCAAACTATCGCCATACTGCATACAGTAGTTACAGATTACCAATATATGTACAGTGTTAACTCCCAAGCTACTATTATTAGCATTAGCTTTTGAGCTGATGATATAGCTCAGGAACCAACGCCAAAGCTAATATTCTTAGTGTTAGCTCCAAAGCTAAAGATATGCAGCTTTTTGCCTTAATTCTCAAATCACTTACATATGATTCAATGGACTCACCAGCCTTTTGGTTACGTGTGTTGAATTTATGTCTCTCCATCGTTATATTTGTTTGAGGGTTGCACATTTCCCTGAACTTCCTTTTGAGACATTCGGGGTCCTCCTTGGACTCCGCAGGAATGAGAACACGTCCATCGTCTCCTTGTTCACGCACCTCTGCTGCGTAAACAAAAGATCTTTCGCGCTCAATGGCTTRGGGTCCAGCCAGGTTCAAAAGAATGTAAGCACGGGTCCGTGCTGGCTTGTCAGAATGTGCTGCAGCGATGAAAATGTCATATTCTTGCTCAAATATGCGCCAGTTTACCGCTAAGTTGCCATCGAACATCAARGGGTCGGGTCGTCTGAAGCCGTCCGCCATGTCGTGAAGAAAAAATAAGCTGGTAGCTCGATGGCCCCTCTTGAAAAAAAAAAACAATACTCACAGTACACAGCGGCCCAGGTGAAAACCTAAGTCCGAATCTTCTGACACCATGTTTTGTGTCATGTTTATAAAAAACGACATCGGTATTAAATCTGAAAGTGGTTTATTTGGCAAAACGTGAGCAGTAGGAGACATACACCAGGTGACCACGCCATCTTAACTCTCTGCGCATGTGCAGACCTACGGTAACTCAGAGAGGTCAAATTTCAACATAACTGTATTCACAGTCAGTATTCTACAGGAACCAACACACCAAAACTAATATTATTAGTGTTAGCTCCCTAATGTGAAAGCTAAAAGGCTAAAGTTGAGGTTCTCCTTCCATGAAGCAGCTCTGTTGTCCATTTTATCATCATTTTAAGTTTCAGGCTGAGTTCTTTCTACGTTCTCCTCTCTGTTAAAGTGCTGCAGAAAGTCTGACAGCAGCTCAACTTTGTAAAGAAGTTTACCCATCATTTACCCATCATTTACCCTGAATGCTTTGCGTTGTAAAAAACACAGCACAGTCTGTGTGACAGTACGTTTCTAAATCTGATAAAAACTAAAGTATTTTTACAGTCTGGTTTTTATAGTTCAAATAAAAGTTTATTACTGTAAATAATGTTTGATGTTACAACTAGAGTTCCCTTTAAAGCAGGTAGTAGCAGCAAATCCTGTTCAGACACTAAAACAGGAGTGCCACCTGCTGGATTAGGATGAAATGACATGTCTCTGTCTTCAGATTGGATCTTATTACGGCAGTGAAGTGTGCTGCCTGGACATCGACATGGACGGCATCACGGACGTCCTCCTGGTCGCAGCTCCCATGTTCCTCAGCTCAGGAAACAAGGAGGCAGGAAAAGTCTACATCTACACCCTGAGCGGGGTGAGACAGCCGAGCCGCAGAACCTGGACCAGATCAGTCCTGGTCCTGGAGGGCTGCAGTCCTGCATGTTTTACTTGTTTCTCTGCTCCAACACACCTGATATGAAGGAATAGATGATTATCAGGCTTCTGCAGTACGGAGGACCAACACTGACATAATTAGAAATAACAGCAGAATTATATGAACCACTAAATAAATACACTTAAAATGTACCAATTAAATTAACAAAGGAGAACTTTATCTCCTGTTTTATATTTTAATTGACTTTCATATTAATTTTTTCAGGTTAGTTCCAACAAATTAGTTTAAATATTTGAACACATAATTAAAACTTTACTATATTAATTGTTTTTCCTTTTACTTGTACATGCATTTCTGTGTCTTAAATGTTTATACTTAATTAATTTAATATGTTTTCCAACAACTCTTTATTTCAATGTGTTGCATACTTTTGCTGCCTCAGTTTAGTTAAAAGTTTAAAGTTAAGTTTAAAACAAAGGCAAGGAGGAAAACATCACCTGTGCATTTATTTTAACTAAACTTTAAATAAACTGCAGCAGCACAAAAGTAACACATAGAAATAAAANAACTAGCAATCCTCAACAACTTTTTAAAGAAGCAGCCGAACTAGCAATCCTCAACAACTTTTTAAAGAAGCAGCCGAACTAGCAATCCTCAACGTTTTGATTTTTACACCAGGAGCCAAAGTTCTGTTACAGGAAATCACATCCCCAGCAATCGGCAGTTGTAGGATTAAGCAGTGCACTGTTCATTCACCACTAGTTGGCAGTGTTGTACATATTGTACATGAATTGTCATAAGTGTCAAATTGAACGCCCCTTTAAAATTAGCTTCCGCTAATTTTTCTAAGACTTAAGCATTTTTGAAGTTGCGGACCTAAATACATTCATTAGAGATGGGATAAATGGCTCTTTGAAGGGATCCGGATCTTGGGGAGCCGTTTGTTTCATAGAGCCGTTCGATTTTAAACACATTACGTCATCACATAGGTAAATACGTCATCACGTAGCCGTACGTAATGACGTAATCCCGTCACGTGACTGGAAACGTGTTTGTCAAGCAGAAACTCCCCTCCCCCCCTTTCAACGTGAGCTTCTGTACTCCACAACTCTGCCTGCTTTCCGTGAAAAAGCAAAGCGGGAGCGATTAAAGTGTGAAAAAATAAAGATTATATGAAGAAATAAAACTACAAATGGCTCGTTACTGCCCGCGATTTGGCTCCTATCGTTTGTTGTAAAGAGCCGTTCAAAAGATTCGGATCGTTCGCGAACGTCACAACTCTAATATTCATAAGTACTTTAAAAGTTGCGGAGCTAATTTTTGGATTAGCGCTGTCCACCACTGATAAAAACCAAATTAACAATTGAGTGAAATCTTTTGAGGACACCCTGGGGGTCCTGGGACCCCAGTTTGAGAACCTCTGTGCTAAACTGTTTTTTTATTTAACTTGCAGAGATTTTCCATGGTTTTCTATGTTTCAGTCACACAAGACTTTGTTCTTAATTGAATTAAAACAGTTGGAAACAAAGATTTTTGTTCTGTTTATTCAATAAAAAAAAAAAACCAACAACTACATATTCAGATTTGAGTCCACTCCAACAGAAATGTTCTAAAGTCTAACGGTCAGTAATCAAAGTGAAAACAGAAAACTAAATGTGAATGACTGGAAACGGTTCAAAGTGTGACTCAGGTTGGAGCGACTGCAGTGGAGTTGATGTAGGACTGCAGCAGGAAGATGGTTTCATCCACCTGGTTCTCTGCTGAATCTAACCTGGAGAAGAACCAAAAAAAGACCTTATTCCACCTCTCAGGTGTCGCATCCATCAAACAGTTTTCATTTGTCCTACTTGTTAACATGAAGCCGTAAGACGTCCAGCTGCTGCTTCTCTGAAGCCGTGATCATCTCCTCCACCTCCGTCAGCTGCTCAGGCTCCGCCCCGCTGGCCTGCAGCGACGCCAGGATGGCTTCGATTCGCTGCGATTTCTCTAGAAGACGCCTGCAGGTCCAACAGAAACCAAGCAGCCGATCCATCAGCAGAACAGAGAGAAACCAACGACGTTAAACAATCAAAGACGTCCTACTTGCTCTCTCTGGACTCAAACAGGCGTCGCTCGATCAGGTTGGCCACCGTCTGCAGACACAAAATGTTACCAAAGCCAGCAGGAAACAGAGCAGAGCCCTGAAGGTGGAGGGATTTTAGCTTCACCTTGTAACAGTTCTGCAGCAGCATCCTGGCTGTTGGGAGCTGGTTAACAGTGTAAAGGTAAAAGGTGCGAGAGGGAGCGAAGTCTGGAGTTTTGGGGATTTCCTGAAGGAGAAAAAAAGTCAGTCGGTAAAAAATGTTTGTTTCAAATTTACGGAGCTCGTCTGGTGACATGGATTTAAAAAAAAATCACGTGCCCACGAGATAATTACTGTATTTATTTGTATATAATACAGTATGATCTCATGTATAATACTATCTCATGTATAAGACGACCCCCACTTTTTTTTAGCTTGAAAAGCATGAAAATGTAATCCTCAAACTACCTCCAATTTCAAACAGACTTCCAGATTTTTCAGCCTTTGCAGTCTTTATATATATCAGTAAAATGATCATTGGACTGTTCATTTTATTTTAACAACATATGTACTAAAAGGTATTTTGACAACAAATATATATCAGCTGTAGCNTAAATTATTTGCAAAAATATATAATTAATTGGAACTAAGTTGGAAAAATAAATACGAAGGTGAATTAATGATAAAACATGAGGTAAAGTTCTCCTTTTTAATTTGTTTGGTGCATTTTAAATGTTTATTTAAAGTTTCATTTATCTCTTTATGCTTTCATTTATAATAATGTCAGTGTCGGTCCTCCGTACTGCAGAACATGAAGAGGTAGTTCAGTGACTGGATCAGGTGTGTTGGAGCAGGAAACATGTAAAACATGTAAAACATGTAAAACATGGAGGTCTGCGGCCCTCCGGTTATCTTCAACTGTCTGTCTCTCCCCCTCTCTCTCAGGAGGGGATGTTCGTATCTAACGGCACGCTCACGTCGGAGCAGAAGTCTCAGGACGCCAGGTTCGGCTATGCTCTGGCAGCAGCTCCAGATCTGAACCAGGACGGCTTCACTGACCTGGTGGTGGGGGCTCCACTGGAGGACGAGCACAGGGGGGCCATCTACATCTACCACGGTCAAGATATTTACATCACCCACAAACCTAAACAGGTAGTGCTCCTTTCTGAGCACCTGTACCTGATTGGTTCATGTAGGAGGGGGGCTTAAGGTGAATTAAGCTTRTCCCACATCTCTCATACACAAGGTTATGAGGAAACTTTTACCAAGGTATMTCTCATTACTTGTTAATATCTTGACTGTGCGAAGTGAAAAGTGACACAATAAGTGAACGTTCAGACGAGTTCAAGTTGATTCATAAAAGACTATGCAATCATTTATTTACACAAATTGAACAGATCATGAGTACACTTGATTGTGGTTATTCCTATAACAAGCATCAGAGTTAAATGAGATAAAACCCGCGTCCGAATTTCACTTCACATCAACTCAGATTACTTATATAGAACAGTAAAAACGTCAGTTCTGATGTTAACAACCAAACAATTTTACTGGCACTTTTAGCTTAAGTTTTGGCAAATTAAGAACAAGAAAAGGAGGAAAGTAATGTTAGTAGGTTACTGCTTTTACTTTATCAAAGTGTGGGTCAACCAGATCAGCACGTCCCTTCTGCGCTCAGGAGTCCACATGACACGTCACTCCGAACACATCAGCTTTACCTGGTGATGTCTTCTTAAGACACCCGCTTGGTAGGAACTGTCTCACCTCCGATCAGTCAGGGAACTGATTATCGGCTCGCTTACCGGTCATTGGGGAGTAGGTGTTTTCAGGTAACTTTTCGTCTGTTTCAGTCCAAGCCAGAAAAATTCAAGCTGTACATCCGGTCCCTTCTTTCCAAAATAAAAATCTCCCCTCGGGAGGTAAAAACACACTTAGAGGCTTGAAGCCTCGGGTGGGACAGCCGGCGGCGTGCGGGGTCCCGGGCTGTTAAGTCTCCCCTAGTTAGCTTATGGGCTAAGACTTAGAAGCAGAACTGAGTCTCCGGAGAGATAACTCAGCTTTCTTCCTAGTTTGGAGTCAGGAAGAAGAGTGTGCGTTGTTCAAAGCCGTCCGGGTTAGTAAAAGAAACAGACGAACTTTGGTTCCGCCCTCAGCTTAGAGATGAGTCAGAGAAAGAAGGATAAGATTTGCCAGCGGCGCCAGCTCAAGATTAAAATTCTATGGCTGTTCACAACAGGATGATAACCTCTTTTCAGCTTTCTTCTGATAGACTCTAAGAGAAATCACTGCAAAACATTTATAATGATTAATTAACATTTCTGTCTTATAATCAGTCTGAACCTTCTGTTAGTCCAGATAAATGAAAGATTTTCTCAGGAAAAATCCACATTTATATTACTGTGTTCACAGTAAAATAAAAACTGTGATTTACATAAAAACACAATGAAAACATTGTAATCAGATTCTCTGTGATTTTTTTATACCATTATTAATATTTTAGGCACGATAAAAGGAAAGAAGTGGTTCCACTTTTCCTGTGACAGTCATTATCATGATTTAACAAATGCATAAACATTCTCAGTTAAATAACAAATGAATCTCGAACAGAAGAGATTGTTCTGTCCATTATCTGATTAAGAGAACTGAGAAACTCTCCTAGGTTAAAATGACCTGTCATGGCCTAAATAGAGTTCAGTTTGTGACAGAGTTCCTGTCCTCTCGTCAGGCCTGTCCGAGGCCTGCTTCGAGACATGCACCTGAGAAGTCGGCCTGACATCTGTCTCTCTTTGCAGCACATAACGGGGTCGTCCCTCTCCCCCTCCCTTCGGTATTTTGGTCGCAGTTTGAGCTCACGGTTGGACTTGGATGGAGACGGTCTGATAGACCTGGCAGTGGGAGCTCAGGGGAAGGCTGTGCTGCTCAGGTAAGCAGGAGCAACTTGACTCTAATAATCTCTAAACATCCACTCTGTGTAGCGTCAGTGAGACAAATGATCATTTCCCCTCCATCATCCATCCCTCACAGCTCCCGAAGCATCGTTCAGATAAACGTGAGTCTGTCCTTCCAGCCTCACTCCATCAACGTCATCCAGAAGACGTGTCAGAGGGGGGGCAGAGACTCAGCCTGCCTGAACGCCACCACCTGCTTCACGGCCAAATCCCGCTCCCCTGAGTCACACAGCATCGCCTTCGGTAAAACTCATCTCTCCTGCTTTAACCCAGAAACATCTTCTCATTTCTACATGAAAACAACACAATACACAGTGTGAACATTTAACATCCATTCTTGCACTTTTTACAGCCAGATAAAATGTGTTAACAGCCCTGATGTGAGACAAAATACAGAGAAAAGACAGAAAATATAATAGCATATAATATAATATAATAGAAAATAATAATAATAATAATAATAATAATAAATATAATAGCCACAAATCTTTATGTTAGTAGTTGTCAGTGGTGGGCAGGGTTCTGCAACCTTCATGATCAAAAGAGCCATTTTAGTACTCCCTGTCCCAGCAAAAACAGTTAATGTTTGTAATCCATACTAAAATTTTATATGTATTGATTTATTTTACTTTACAATCGGAGCTCCTTTTTAAAAAAAAAAAGTTTAAACGCTGGAGCTCAATACTTGACGTAATTGGTCGAAGCAAATCGGCCAACAGGGTTAGAGACGCAGAAATGATTTAAAGATGATATACTGGTGACGACTGACATCTAGTGGTCAACTGGAGCAACTACATGGAAAAGTTTCGTTTCCCGTCACAAATCAAATCCGTCATGTACCCAGAATGCATCGCTTCAGTTTTCCAATAAACAGTTTTAAAATTACTTTATTGATGCTTCTTTAATGAAAAATCTACAACAAACAAAAGAAAAAGACAAAGAAGCAGCCGAACTAGCAATCCTCAACAACTTTTTAATTTTTACACCAGGAGCTAAAGGTCTGTTTCAGGAAATCACATCCCCAGCAATCGGTGATTGTAGGATTAATCTGTATAAGGATTCATACACCGCTAGTTGGCAGTGTTGTACATATACAATTGTTGCCAGTTAGTGTCAAATTGAACTTGTGCTTTAGAATTAGCTTCTGCTAGTTTTTCTATGGTAAAAGCATTTTTGAAGTTGTATATTTTCATAAGCGCTTTAGAAACTATGGAGCTAATTTTTGGATTAGCGCTGCCCACCACTCTCTGCTACATTGCTTGTAATAATGCACATTAAATATGTTCCTGGGAATATTTCACTTAAGATATATTGCACACATTTTGTATTGCACATGGGTCAAAAAATTTAATCTTTGTTGCCATTATTTATTTATTTATTTATTTATTTATTTAATTCTTCCACAGATCTCTGGGTGTCGGCCACATTGGATGACAGGAAGTTGTCAGCGCGGGCTTTATTTGACGACAGCTCCCACAGACAGATCCAGCTTTCAGTTGGAGTCCAAACAGGAAAGGCTCTCTGCTACAGACTGCCCTTCCACGTCTACGTGAGTGTCGGTGTCCTTTCCTCCTCCATCCCTGATCCAAAACTCCCAGCACTGTTAATGTTTTCTGTACAGGACACAGCAGATTACATCCGGCCAATCAGCTTCTCACTGGGGTTTAAGATCAACAACACGGAGGTGGGGCCAGTGCTGGATGAAGGCTGGCCAACCAACATCAAGAAATATGTAAGTTTTACTAAAGTCATCAATATTAAATTAAAAATTAAATATCCAAATGTGTCGTTCTCATTACACCCGTCCAGATCTCCTTCTTTAAAGACTGCGGCGAGGATGACGTTTGCATGACGGACCTGGTCCTGCAGGCCAACATGGACATCACCGGGACGAGGTAGACATCTCATCGGTTCAATGAAAGCTCGTGCTGCGACTCGTTGGGTCTGAGCGAGTCTTTCCTCCCGCAGGCAGAAGCCCCATGTGATTCGCAGTCCTCGGAAGCGTCTGGTGGTGGAGGTTCAGCTTCAGAACCGACTGGAAAACGCCTACAACACCAGCCTGAAGCTGCATTATTCACGCAACCTGCACTTCTCCAGCCTCAGCGTCAGAGTAAATCATCTCACGACACGTCCAGCACGAACAAAACCTTCAGGTTTATTTATTCGCTTTTCTGTCAATATAGGAGAATACCAACTTTAAGATGGAGTGCACAGCTCTGGGCTCGAACAGCCACTCGTGTAACGTCAGCTACCCGGTGTTTCGCTCTCATTCTAAGGTAATCTCACCACCAGGGTGACGGGCTTGTATGGGATAAATATTGTGCCAGCAGGAACTGAATCTGAATGTGCATAATTTGAAAATAAATTTTACTAAATTGAAACTGAATTTAAAGTTTTATATCTGAATTAATTTGCTTTGAAACTGTACAGTATTTTTGTTTATTAAAAATTCAGTTTGACTACTTTCACTTTCAGTTCCATAATTCAGATTTTTGTGTCACATCCTGGTCCTTGAGAAAGCCAGGCAGAGTAATCAAACACAGATCCACAGATTTATGTTTCACTTTGGTGAAGTTTCCCTTCTGTCTGTAACAGAGTTGATGCAATCCACTGTAAAAGNATTTAGAAGTTTTTATTCGTTTTTACAGTGGATTCGCTAGTTTTTATTAGTGATTGCATTTTTAATGCTTAGCTTAGGTTTTAGTTCTAGTATTAGGGTTTTTTTTTATAGTTAGCTTGTGATGTTCCTGTGAGTTAACTAACCAACAGCTTTTTGTCACTAGTTAAATCAGTCCATTTGTGTAACTCAGTTTTACCAAATAAAAACTTGTGATTATTTCAGGACGATGACAACAGTCGTCTCCAACCTGTTGTTTGTTTTTCATGGAGTTACTGAGAGAAGCTAACGTGTCAGATAGTCCCAGTTAGCATCTTGTGTGAGTTTGATTCATGCAGTTTTTCACCTGAGAAGTATTCCACCTGTTTTATCACCTGTTTTATCACCTGTTTTATCACCTGTTTTATCACCTGTTTTATCACCTGTTTCCACTACAAAACACTTGATTTATTTTTCTGTCATATTCAAAGAAATCCTAAAGTGGACGTTGTTGTTTTCTCCCAACTTTTGTTGTCATCATTCAGCAGCAGACTGTAAACAAGTGTTACAGACCACAGCTGATGTAAAACTACTCAGTAAAAAAAAAAGATTCACGTCTCAAAATAAAGTGACAAACATTAAAACTAAGGATATTCTATCTATAATTTCAGCTTTAGTTAGTTTTGTAAAAAGATTATAGTTTTAGTAATTGTCTTTTCATTTTATTACAGTTTTTATTTATTTCAGTTAATTAAAATGTTTTTTTCAGTTTCAGTTGTGGTTATTTAGTTAGTTTTAGTTAACTATAACAACCCTGAGGAGAGAGGATTGAAAGAAGCGCTCACCTCTCCTGAACAATGGACTCCAGCGTGGCTCGGGCCAGGTTAGCCAGAGCTCTGTGCAGATCTGAGAGACGGGTTCAGAAAAGCAGCCGGTCTTCGTCACGAACAAACAGAACCCTGACAGTCCAGCTCATCGGCTGCAGATAAGGATACTGACGATGTACATCCCTCCTCCGCTCTCACCAGCCTTCCCCACAAACTCCATCTGACAGAGGAGAAGCAGAAACTCTGAGTGAACCGAGGCTTGGAGCTGAGCGCAGAAACGCTCGCCTCCAGAAACACATACCGGGTCGTCCACCAGCAGGGTCAGGTACTGGTCTAAGATGGGCCTGGAGATGTTGTAACTGGCAGAGAGGGACCTGAAGATCTCATTGGCTGACAGGGGCTTGGTGCAGGCGGCTGAGGCTGAAGTGGTGACCTCGCTCATCCTCAGGATGGTCCTGACGATCTCGCTGCTCGTCTGATTGGTTCAAACCATCCGTTACTTTCAGCAGCAGCTTTACTTCCTCGTTTTAACATCGAAACAAGGAAAAATCAAAGTTCATGTTGTTTTTCTGCACTGAAGTCGACGTTTTCTCTTAGAAAGAACTGGTGGGTGATGGATCCCCAATATCTTAAATTCTGCTGTAAAACCAAATAACTACAGAATGTTTTGGTTAGAATATTAATTATAAACAATTTAAAAAAGGTAACGAAACGCAGAACTCTGACTTTAACCACACGTTGTGTGAAGTTCGGACCTGATCCAGTTTGTTGGCCACGGCGCTGATGATGGCCTGGTCTCTGAAGTGCTGATGGAACCGCTCGAAATTCACCTGCCAGTAAATCCCCTCGTCGCCATGCACCTGTGGGCGAGACGACATCGTTACGACAGAAAATATACAGCACCAGCTCTAAAGTCCCACACCCACCATCCTTTCATCCTGCATCCAGATTACAGAGCCCGCGAGGGGACATGGGGGATTTTTTTCTTTTGTGCTCCCTCGCAATACTTTTGCGTTACCTTGCAATACTTTTGCATTCGCTGGCAATACTTTTGCGTTACCTTGCAATACTTTTGCGTTACCTCGCAATACCTTTGCATTACCTTGCAATAATTTTGCGTTAACTTGCAATACTTTTGTGTTCCCTTGCAATACTTTTGCGTTACCTTGCTTTGCGTTACCTCACAAAACTTTTGTGTTCCCTCGCAAAACTTTTGCGTTCCCTCGCAATACCTTTGCGTTACCTTGCAAAACTTTTGCGTTACCTCGCAATACTTTTGCGTTCCCTCGCAATACTTTTGCGTTCCCTCGCAATACCTTTGCGTTCCCTCACAATATTATTTTGCGTTCCCTCGCAAAAGTTTGATTTGTATATGAACTTAATTAAATCAGACTTTTATTTTGAAATATTCAGTTACCAAAACAGGATGTGTTGCCACAAGTTTGTGAAATTAACTTTGATGTTGTGTGGCTGTACTGTGTTAAAATATCATCATATGACACACTTCCATGCGTGGCTGTGTGATATATTCATTCTGAAGCTGAATTAAAGCAGTAGGCTAACTCGCTAATGGTGAACATGTGAGTTTGTTAATAAACCGGCAGGCACAACAGTGTTTAACGACTTTTGCGAGGTAACGCAATACTTTTGCGTGGGAACGCAAAAAAAAAATCCCCATGTTCCCTCGTGGGCTCAGTAACAGCTAAATGTGACAGACACACAGAAAATAGGGCTATGGGGTAGAAGGCAGAAACAGTATGAAGTTGGCCTACGGTAGAAATGAAGGGATTCAGTTTATACCCTGATATGAATTTGAGGTCATACCTCCCAGCTCTAATAGAACATTAAGGTCTTGAAACAAAACTGTTTTAAAAACAGACTTTGTGTGAGGTTTCCTGCTAGTTGTTGGAAAAGGCATCACTTCCATATATGAGCTGGGACATCACAAACAGCCCACCTACAAAGTGAGACAGTCTTCCTGGCTTCATGGTGGTTCAGACAGATCAGAATAATTAACATTTCATCCTTCCATCCTCGTCACTGCGTGCTCCTCCATCAGGAGAACACTGTCCTCCTTCTGTGGCGTTCCTCCTGTGACATCACCAGCTGCTGTTTCTGTGTCTGGGTGGTTATTTGATCTTTTTTTTTAAACTTGCCGAAATGTGGAAAGAACCTCTAACCACTGTTTTCTACTAACTGACCTGTGAATCCATCCTGGGTCTTTTGGCGCTCCTTGGCTCCTCCCCGTCCTCGGCGGCGTGCTGGCGTTTGCCCCGTCCCACAAGCGTCACGTGAGGCACCCTGTAGCAGTCGGCGAAGCTCTCTGCGGACGGTGCAGCGGCGCCGGAGGGGGCTGTGGGAGCCCCGGGGGCAGCTGGAGCTGCAGCTTGTGCACCGCTGTCTGCCGCCGCCGCCGCCGCCGGTGGAGGAGGGCAACGCTGGAGAAAATGTGTCTCCACGAGTTTGGAAAAAATGGAGGAGACTTCACTGTAATCCACGCTGCGCCCGTCTGTAAGGAGGAAACACAAGATCCAGGATTAGTTGTAACATTAGACTTTATTTGATAAACATTTATTTTCACTGTAAAATAAAGACTGTAAAATGTTTAGTTTTTATCATTTTTAAAAATATATTTTAACACGGACGGGGCCATTTTATTTGCACACAAAGCATTCTGGGTAAATGATGACGTGGATAGGTCCTCGGTGCGAGGCTGCTAGCGAGCTATATCCACCC